TTATGCATTAAAATGGGGGGGGGGGCGCCAGGAACGGAATTAAGAACTACTGGTGGTACCGATCCTTTTGGCTATATAGTGTATATGTCCTTTATTCATGTTTACGGTCCCCAGTCTAGGGTTGGAGACTGTCAGAAAAGGAAAGGGAAAGGGGAGACGAGATGAGCGGGGAGTAGGGAAAGGGAACACAGGAAATGAAGGGGATCTTTTTTTTTTGTTATTTTATTTTTCACAAACACTTCACAAACAATAGGTGTAACAGACTTCGGGAGTGACACAGGCCAAAATAACGAATGAAACACCACTGCCGAATGAAACCCAAGCTAAGCTAGTCCTACATGAGATAAACGAAACACAAACAAAACAACAAGACTAACTCCTAGCTCCCTAATCAAACCAAAAATTAAACCATGCGTCACGCAGAAAAAAAATGGCAGTCACTCCGTACACACCTAGGTACAAACACACAGCAAGTACACAAAACCGAGCAACGATACCAAAGGGAAAAAACAAAAGGGTTGTCGAAAAACAGACGGAGGTTCAAACCAGAAAAACAATAAACCAGGGCAGAAGTACCAGAAAAGGGCTAACCAAAAATCAGAAACCGAAAACCTAAACTATCATATACAAGCAAGCAAACCAACAATAATCCAAACAGTGAGCAAATGCTTTCGAAGTTAGCAAGGCTGTGGCCTTTTCTTTGCAGAAACAGGAAGCAGCGCCGAAGATGGGAGGGGCGTGGCCTGGTCCAGGAGGCAGAGCCGAAGGGAGCAACCGGAGAATGGCGACGAGGGCAGGAAGTCTGGAGAATCTGCAAGGACATCCTGAAAACACGTAACACATGTAAAATGCATATGAAATTAATGTACTGTCAAACATATAAGTCCTACATTCATATACAATACATATTACAGTAAATGAATGTGTCAGTAGTCACAGCTGATGGCTGTGCCCAAAAGGTCATTAAAAACCTGGATCTTGGTTTTTATGTAGGCCATTCACAACCCCACTCAGGCTCATCACTTGTGCAAGATATTGTACATACAGGGAGAAGGAAAACTCCAAGGAAACCTAGTCAGGGAACTCATTACCACCTGTACCACAAAGATCTGGGAATCCATGACATTCCTGTGCTTCACTTTCCCTGGAACAACAACTCAGGGCAAGCGTGAGCAGATACTCATGGTGGCTTCAAGTTAGGCTGGTTTCCTTCTCAGGAATAATTGGATTGGGTGGGTGAAGTTTCATCACCATCAAAGCCCAGGGGTGATGTGAGTGATGTCCCCCACCTTGTGAAGGCAGTCTGTGGCCATTGTTAGATTAAGTCATTCTCTAGCTATGGCAGTGCTAGTTATTTAAAAAGGACCAGGGCTGTCTTAGGGCACTTTTCCACCGCACTGGTACAGCGCATTACTGCTCCCACCACAGGATGAAACACCTTGGGATTCCGGTTGACAACCCCCCCCAGGCTGACATGTGTTCCTGTCCCACACTCTGGAAATGGCCATCCATCTGCCACAGCTAGGTGTTACATGCACGTCCCCTTAGCCTGGTCCAGCCGCTCCTGCGAGCCAGATCAGCCTGTGGGAATCACGTCACATGGCCGTACTGCCGTAAGTGACACTCCCTCACAATGCAGGTGATGTGCCTCGTTAGGGAATCGCTGAGCACCCGCTCGTTCACAAATCAGTGGTACCCAAGGATTCTCCAAAGAGACACAGTACCAAAGTAGTCCAGTCTTAGGTAACAGGATAGCGTCCATGTCTCATAGCCATATAGCAAGACAGGGAGCACCAGGTGTGAGAAAGCATTTGCAGCATATTAGTGCTGGTTACGTATGGCGTTATGAGCCCTGAGTGTGCATTGGTCAGAATGCATAAGTCCGTTGTTCCACCAGCCTTTATTGACAACAGTCGCTTGCTTTCGCGGGTATACACGTGTGGTTCTGCAACAAATTGAACTCCCGGTAAATATCACACACCCTCCAAATAACAGCGATTAACTAATTCCATAATGACAAATTAACAGCCCTCCTTTATATTTAAACAATATTTAAACGAGTTAGCACAATAGCTCTGCAGCCTTCTTATCATGGGCTAACTATAAGCGCTGAGAACGTAATGTTACGCTATCCCTCGTAAATGACGTATTTAAACATACTTAAAATACAAACTTAAACCATAACATAATAAAGGATTAGAGTAAAGGGAACAAACGATAACCAAACACAAACTTACGGCTCTTTGGATGACACATAGCCTACTGGCTTAGAATTCAAGATCCCTTCAATCTCTATCAGGGTGGTCTCCAGAACTTCCGAGGTGACGATCTCTGGACCCAAGCTGGCATTAAGCGCTGACTTAATTGACTTTACCTCCCTCTCCCAGGCTCCTCCAAAGTGCGGGGCGCAGGGTGAATTGAATGAGAATCGGATCTGTTGTGCTGCCAACCGTGACTGCAGGGATGGATGTACAGTAGGGCTTGAAAGGCTTCCAGGAGCTCCCTGTTTCCCCCCTTAAAGTTAGTCCCCTGGTCAGACAACAGCTCCATGGGTTTCCCACGGCGTGAGATGAATCTTCGCAGGGATATGAGGAATGAATCAGTGCTCAGGCTAAGGAGCACTTCAATATGGACTGCTCTGGTGGTTAAGCATTTAAAAAGCAGTCCCCAGCATTTCTCTGTGCAACGCCCCCTTTTTACCTGCAGTGGACCAAAGCAGTCAATTCCTGTGGAATAAAATGCTGGCTGGTACAGTCTGACACGAGCAGGAGGCAGGTCTGACATCTTACTGTAGGTACAATGGGTTGTGCCCTCCATTTCTGACACTCGAAACAGCATCGCTGTTCCTTCCTTACTGCCTCTCGGCCTCTTAGGATCCAATACTTCCTCCTCAGCTCGGCAAACAGACGCTCGGCTCCTGGATGTTTCAGTTCTCTGTCTGTCTGTTGAATAAGGAGCTTAGTAATTGGGTGCTTTGGATCTAATAACACTGGATGGACAGTGTCTGCTTCCAGCTTATCACACCGGCGCAAACGACCACCCACACGTATCAGCTGCAGAGAATGGTCCAATTCTGGTGCCAAGGTCAACAAGCGACTGCTCATGGGGAGCGACCTTCCCTCCTTTAGGCACCAGACCTCATCGGGAAAACTCTCCAACTGCACCGCTCTCAAGACATTAAGTTCCGCCTGTCTGTAATGCTCTGCCATCGGATTGCCCTCTGCCTCTGGTGCCGCCCCATGCAAACGCCGTGCGGTCTCAGCAACAAGATCACTAAAGGTGCAGTACTGATGCGTGTCAGGTAGGTTAATACTAGCTGTAGGCATGGTCAGCAGACAAATCACAGCCTTCCGTAATTCATCACTGTGGTCAGTAGTGGGAAATGGCACCTCAACTGGCCATTGCTCAGGCGGTAAGGCTAGGAACGATGGACTGCATGCCCACCGGCTCTTCCCAGCAATCTCCTGCAACGTCTTCCCTCTGGTGAGATCATCAGCGGGATTCTCCGCTGATGGCACGTATCGCCAGGCCTGTAAGTCCGTCAATTCCTGTATCTCTGCAATGCGGGTCCCCACAAACACTTTAAAGTGACAGGAATCTGACCTGATCCATGATAGGACCGTCGTGGAATCTGTCCACATTGTGACTCTATGAACTGCTTCGGTCAGCTCACGTTGCAGCAGTTTAGCTAACTGTGCACCTGTAAGAGCGGCACACAACTCTAGCCGTGGCATGGATAGTTGGCGTTTCGGGGCCACTCTAGAGCGAGCTGTCAGGAATGCCACCTCAACTCGACCTTGGGTGTCTTCTGTACGGAGGTAAGCTACACTACCGTATGCCCGTTCTGACGCGTCGCAGAAAATGTGTACCATTCTCCAAGTATCAGCGTGATCCATCTCTGGACTAACATAGCAACGGGGTAAGCAGATACTGTCAATGTGACACAGCTCACCTTCCCAGGCCTGCCAGGCATTCAGTAAATTCTTAGGCAGAAGGGGATCATCCCACCCCCTTTCTTTATCCCACAATTGCTGGACAATGATCTTTGCTCTCGTCGTATATGGTATAAGGAATCCAAGGGGGTCGTACTGGCTGGCCAGGACTCGGTATATACTCCTCATTGTGGTGGGAGATGACCTAAGTGGTCTTGATCTGTATCTTATTGTGTCCGTCTGGCACATCCAGCTCAAGCCAAGCGCATGCTCTTGCTGTTCCACTTCACCGTGGTTTAGCCACTGTTCACTACTTTCTGATCGAAGAGCCCTTGGCAAGTGATTGATGACTTCTAGTTGGTTACTTGCCCACTGTCGCAATTCAAGCCCTCCCTGTGTCAGCAGTGCTCTGGTCTTGTCCACCATACGTTTAGCCTGAGCCGCCGATGGGAAACTCTGGAGCCAGTTGTCGACATAAAAGTGAGCTTCCACTGAACATCTGACATCTTCCCCCTCATAGCTGTGGTCTCGGACGTGCCGCAGGAGTGCGTAGATGGCACAACATGGTGAGCACGTTGTCCCGAAGGGCAAGACTTGCCACTCATATACATCAGGCTGGGAGTCTCTTTTTAGATCTCGCCAAAGGAAGCGCGTAAAGGGACGATCTTCTGGAAGCAATCTCACCTGATGAAACATTCCTTTTATGTCACTGCTGATGGCAGTGGAGTGTTCTCGGAAGCGCAACAGGACACCAAGAATTGAGGGCCCCAGGTTCGGGCCTGGCAGCAGAAGCTTATTGATGTTCTGATTCTCATAATCAAAGGAGCAGTTGAACACAACACGGTTCTTACCATTGTGTGTCACTAGATGATGGGGAATAAACCAAGACTGTGTACTTGTCGCTTCTAACTCAGGACTGATCTTCCGTATGTAGCCTGATTCTTCCAACTTCCTGATCTCAGTGCTATAGGCCTGAGCTTTAACTTGATCTCTCATGAGTCGCTTTTCTATCGCTCGCAGGTGGGGCAGTACTGCTTGGGGAGGGGCTCTCAGAATGGGCATACTTGCAACCCTCAACAGAGGTGTGGCATAACGACGAACACCATCTACCTCAACACGTTGAGTCTTAGCTTCCAGCAACTCTATAGCTTCCTGGTCTCTACGTGACCGTGTCACCAGCTTCTCATTTTGGAATGGGAGTGTGTCTAACTGCCAGAGTTTCTCCACTTGGCTGTACAGCTCAGACATAGGAGAACATGTGGACAGAAAGAGGCACTGCTGGGAATTATTGCACTGTATGCGACTTACAGGCCCCTGAAGAGTCCAGCCCAATCTTGTTTTCACTGCTGCAGGGCCACCCGGTGGTCCAAGGCGTACTGGCTTAATGGGTGTTATGAGATGGGGGTGATCTGACCCAATCAGCAGGAGTGGCTTAGCATTGTAAAAAGGCTCAAGTGGAAGTGACTTAAGATGCTTGAACTTCCTCTTCAAACCATCTACTGGGTAGGTATGATCGGCCAAACCTAGCTGTGCTGCAGTGAATGCCTTATCAACTGTGAATGTCTTGGCTGGGTGATTAACTGGAGAAATAGTAAATGTCACTGATGAGCCCTGCAACGTTCTCTCGTCGTGACGTATTGTCCTCACTGTCAGACTCTCTGGCTGACCGTCGAGCTTCAGGTGCCGTGTAGCTTCTGGCAGTAGAATCGTCCTCTCTGAACCATCATCCAGAATGGCGTATGTCTCCAAAGAGTGATCACCACTCCGCAGGAGCACCTTACTGATCTTGAGAAGGACCTGGTTGCAGCCAGCACGTCGATCCAGATACAAGATATCAGTGGGCTGATCTGGACCCTTTGAAGAAGTGGGGTTGGCATCCTTCTGCTCGGCAGCAGTCCTGTCATTAACAACATGCAAAGACTCGAGATGTTTGCCTCTGCAGATCTTGCACTGCAATTTCAGTTTGCACTGAGCAGCCAGATGCTGGCGTCCACATCGCCAGCATCGATTGTTGCTTTTCACCCAGGTTATCCTCTGGTCTCTGGAGAGCTGCTTGAAATTGGCACACTGATCCAGGAAATGTTGGTTGTTGCAGCAGTATGGGCAGTATACTCTGGGTTTCACCTCTGAGGTCTGTCCGCAGGAGGTATCGGCAGGGTGGGCCTCTGTGGTGCCATGGAGAACTGTGGCAACCCTGCTGGGCTTTCCCTCCCTGCTATAATCTTTCTTGGGTCTGTAGTCCTTACGTCTCCCCTCCTCTATCCTATCCATGCTGTCCCCTCCTTCTTGAACAAGAAGTTCCAACCAGCGAGAAAAGTCTAATAGGGAGGGGACTCCATCTTGTCTCCAACAGAGGTATCGACGGAAGGTAGCACGGAGATCTTGTGGCAGCTTCCTCATTAACCTTGCAACGTGAGATCCACACTGCAGCTCAATCACTCCATCTTCCCCAAGCTGCTTCAGCATCCCCACGAGTGCTCTAACTCGTAATGCAAACCTACGGAACCCTGCTATGTCACCTGGTCGTATGGTGGGCTCATCCATCAACTCTGATATTCGCCTTAACGACAACTGGTGAGGTTGGCCATACTGTCTAGTCAGTGAAGCCATTGTGTCGGTGTAGGGGGATGGGGAGTTGACATAAGAGTCTGCTATCAGGAGAGCTTCCTCAAACTTCAAGTGGTCACACAGGATCTGATACTTGAATCTCTCCGTTGCATCAGCTGGCAGGATGTTCTCCAGTGCAATCCGGAGCCTTGAAAATTCTCTAGGATCATCCCTGGTAAACTTGGGAATGGAGGGTTTGGGACCTCGATATATCCTTTCTTGATAGTTGGGTGGGGGGTCTTTGGTGTCTCTGCTGTTCAATAGAAGACCAGGGGTTATGACAAAGCTCTGGCTGGTTGGGGAAGTAATGTGCAGATTCTCCAACAACATCAGCTGGGTCATCATAATGCGGCGATGAGGGGCGTGGTGACAGGAAACGTTCCAGGAGCTCGATTCTCATTGTTGGGTCCAACTGTGCACTAGGCGCTGGAATGGGGTCAGGAGCATCATCTGGGAAATCTGTAGGTGGAGGTGGGAGTGGCCACTCATCATCTTCCTCTGTCAAAGGTGGATGGCTTCGACTATGAAATGGCTCCACCCGAATGGCTCGTGGCTGGCCCATGACATGTGTCAGTGGAGGTGGGGGCAGTGACCACATCTCCTCCTGGCGCTGTTTGGACTGGATGGTCAGCACATTGGGTCGTGGTGGTGGCATGGCATTACTATCCTGGTGGTGCCTAATCTCCTTCACCATCTCATGCAAACACCTGTTCTCCTCCTGCAGCTGATGTATTGCCATCGCCACTGCTGAAGGGCTTTGGTGCGTAGCTAGAGTATTTTCACATACAGGGGGTGTACTGCTATAATACGGGTATTGGAGTGAATGGGATTGGAGGGGAGTCATCTCGGCGAATCCCTCGTGATATCTCGGAGTTTGCTGTGTAACAGCAGAGGCAGCCTTTGGTGGAACGTAAACCTCGTAGTCTTGTAACCACGCCGGGAGACGCACTGTTCTCCGTGGTCGTGTCTGCTTTGGGGAACTCTCAGCCATTATCACTCAGCTCTCAACTATCCGGCTCGAAGGACCATGTGAGAAAGCATTTGCAGCATATTAGTGCTGGTTACGTATGGCGTTATGNGGGGTCAGGAGCATCATCTGGGAAATCTGTAGGTGGAGGTGGGAGTGGCCACTCATCATCTTCCTCTGTCAAAGGTGGATGGCTGCGACCATGAAACTGCTCCACCCGAATGGCTCGTGGCTGGCCCGTGACATGTCTCAGTGGAGGTGGGGGCAGTGACCACATCTCCTCCTGGCGCTGTTTGGGCTGGATGGTCAGCACATTGGGTCGTGATGGTGGCATGGCATTACTATCCTGGTGGTGCCTAATATCCTTCACCATCTCATGCAAACACCTGTTCTCCTCCTGCAGCTGATGTATTGCCACCGCCACTGCTGAAGGGCTTTGGTGCGTAGGTGAGTATTTTCGCATACAGGGGGTGTACTGCTATAATACGGGTATTGGAGTGAATGGGATTGGAGGGGCGTCATCTCGGCCAATCCCTCTTGATATCTCGGAGTCTGCTGTATAACACCAGGGGCAGCCTTTGGTGGAACGTAAACCTCGTAGTCTTGTAACCACACCGGGAGACGCACTGTTCTCCATGGTCGTGTCTGCTCTGGGGAGCTCTCAGCTATTATCACTCAGCTCTCAACTATCTGGCTCGAAGGACCATGTGAGAAAGGAGTTGCTGCATATTAGTGCTGGTTACGTATGGCGTTATGAGCCCTGAGTGTGCATCGGTCAGAATGTATAAGTCCGTTGTTCCACCAGCCTTTATTGACAACAGCCGCTTGCTTTCGCGGGTATACACGTGTGGTTCTGCAACAAATTGAACTCCCGGTAAATATCACACACCCTCCAAATAACAGCTATTATTGAATTCCGTAATTACAAATTAACAGCCCTCTTTTATATTTATACAATATTTAAACGAGTTAGCACAATAGCTCTGCAGCCGTCTTAGCATGGGCTAACTATAAGCACAGAGAATGTAATGTTACGCTATCCCTCGTAAATGAGGTATTTAAACATACTTAAAATACAAAACTTAAACCATAACACAATAAAGGATTAGAGTAAAGGGAACAAACGTTAACCAAACACAAACTTACGGCTCTTTGGACGCACACGCTTCCTGAACTGAGCAAACCGCACTAATTATGATGACGAACTACAGAAACCGCAGCGGGCTAAACTTAAAACTACAGTTCCTACGCAGTCCACATGGTGGCACTAGCCGCCCACCACTCCCTCCATCAGTCGTCTTCACTCTTCATGACAGTCAGCAATATATGCCTATTTTACTGCATATATTAATAGGTAATTTGAGCCGATCATCAAAGCAGCTTCTTTCCTTGGAATAATGCGAAGGATGGCGATAGGCTGTATTTAAAAGTCTGTAAGCCTAGCGATGAACGTTCTTAAAATGGCATTTTATTAAGTATTTTAAATACACATAGTACAATCTCTCAATCTATTTTGTTACAAATTAGCATACATCTTATTTTTTACGTCCAGAAAAATACAAATTACAAAATGCTCAAAAGGACATGAATACGCATTTTTAATGCATTTCACTAAAAATACTGCCATTCTCAGAACACAGAACATGCCACTTCTTCACAGTATCGTCGTTCAAGTTCTTTTGATCGATGGATCTTAGCCAAGTTTTCTGTAGCCTTTCCGGCAGCTCTTCTGTCTCTTTGCCTTGATTTGTACGATCCGAAGGTATACAGAAGAAACTTGGATTCGGGGTTTTCTTGCTGCTGTTGTCACTCGCACCCCGATAAAATGGCCGCCGCCTCGTTTTCATTTATGCGTACCTTGGACAATGATGTCAACTTAATACAACCTATTGAGAGCAGCAGCGCTTACACAAACAGCCACAGTGGATTCGGGAGAGAAATGGAAACTGAAGTATCGATCTCATTAAACTGGTATTGATCAATATCAATACCAACATTATTATCGATACTTGCATACTTTGTTGACTTATGATTACTTTTGGTGATTGGTTCGTTGTCATATCATTTCCAGGTGTGATGGTGCCGAGTATGAAGCTAATTGCCATATTATAGGTATGAAAAAAGATATAATAGGAAACATTTTGAAGCAGAATGACTTCAACAAAGTGCCAAACATAAGAGATAGATAGATTAGATAGATTAGATAGATTAGATAGATAGATAGATAGATAGATAGATAGATAGATAGGTAGAAAGAAAGAAAGAAAGAAAGAAAGAAAGAAACTTAATCAATCCCCGGAGGGAAATTATGTTGTCATACCCTTACGAAAATTAACCATGGTTTTACTATGACTAAATAACCATGGTTTACAATGGTTTGCCGTTTTTCATGTTTTTTTGGGTAATGAGGGAATAATTAAAAAATAAAGGGAATGATTCTATAATGCTGTAACTAATCAAAACGAGAACTGACTGGCGCGCCGGCAAGGCAAGGCTACCTAATCGGAACAGATAGGGAGGGCGACAGAGAATATCAGCGGCCCCTACTTATCTTTTAGCCTTCCAGAAGGACAACTACGAGCCGGCTGGAATCATACATGTGGTTGTCACGTACACGGAAGGTACCGAGAAAGGGGGGGAGATGCCCAAAGGGCTTTAAAAGGGATACAGCTGATACATATGGCAGAGCCTCCTCCTGTACATGCTGAATGTATGTCAGACGGCCGCTCCCTGATTATAATCAGTCAAGACAATAAACCGGTGATTTGCAGCTTTTCCCCGTGTCAGCTGTGAATCTCTTCTCATCCACGGACCCAGTGGAGACGCCGTGCTCCAACAGTGACTATGGAACACATGACTATGGTTTTATCATGGTTTCACTACAGTTAAACCCTAATCTAATGTTAGTCATAAACCATGGGTTTATTTTACCATGGTCTTTATCATGGTTTTTGTTTTACCATGGTCTTTCCAAATCATGGTAGTACTATGGGTAGTACCAAAGTACCAGGAGGTACCATAGTAAAACTATGGTTACTGCATAAAAACCATAGGAAACCATAGTGAATTTTCATAAGGGATAGCAGCCAGGTGCATGTAAAGGTATATTATTCAAATAAATGAATCGCTTCTTGTGACTAAGAGCGACTGTATTTGCATAACATCACCGCATGTCGCGTTTGAATTTTGAAGTAGTAACTGTCACATTTGCTGTTTTATAGGTTATTAATCTTAAGGTTTGATTGTAAAATACAATAATAAACAAGTAATGTGAGTTTTTTTAGTCTGCTTAAGGCAAGATAAACGAAGTTACAGCGAGCAGTCGCTTCTGAAGCGCAGGAGAAACGAAGCAGCATTGCTTTTAAAAAAGACCGATTACGTCAGGGGAGGAAGTCCGTGGCAAGAGGCAGTTTAGAGCAAACAAGTGTTGAAACGGGACAGTTGGCAACCCTATAGTGATGGTACACATAGTGTTTAGTAATGCTGACCTCTGAGGTAAGGAAAATCCAGAAATTTCGTTTTCATAGGGTACACTGGCCGTAAATCAGGGGGTGCATTCAGCTAAGCTGAATGTTTACGTGAGTATTGCGCATTAGGGAATGTGTTAATTCATGTTATCGAGACAGACGGCAACATATAACTTATCAATGTGAGTTATTTTAACAGAAAATGAGAAATAGAGAAAGGGTTTTCAAAAACCCAAACGCCTATTTCGAATCATTGTTTAGATTTTAATTATATCAAGTAACTGCTGAGTATCGAAAAAGATTGTTTGGTCTGTTGGAAAATGAAAATATATGCAGATGAACTGAGAGACTTGGTAGTATATACTGTATGCAATTCTGTTGTTAATTAAAAGGTATCTAGCATGTACAAGTCAGGTATCTTAGCGTATCTTAGCGTGTGACAGTATTGGCTACCTATCGACTCACCTCATCGACTTAAACATGGGAAAATGGAAAAATATTAAAATCATACATTGTGGCAACAGCTTGAATAGTATGTACATGCAAAATATATTTAGCCACCCTGTTCAAATGGAGAAACTGCGTCGTTAGTCTCCTCTGTTGACGGTTTCCTAGCAACGCAAGTCACCAAGTGTAGACAACTATAAAAGCGCATTTTCACTCATATTGCTTTTGAATCTGTGCCGTTTATGTGTGTTGATAATGTTTTAGGAAACCGGGGTAGGTTGTTAGTTCATGTAATCGATTCTCTGTTTTCTTTTATTCGAACGTAGCAGAGTAGCTAATCGCAGAACTCACTTAGACAACGCTACAGCTTTAAGTCACATACACCATTAGCAGATCTTCTGAAGTATCAGAAAAATAAATCAGTACTGTTAAAAATGTAAGATGCGAAACTGAATATGAGAATTCGTTGGTAATATCACTATGAAAAATATTGTCTTCAGCGTATTTGCAGTTTTTTATTTTGCTATCTGGCCATTGGGCTGTGCAAAAACTGTTTCAGGAGCAGGTGCTCAAAGGTTAAGTAGTTCGGGCAAAACAAACAGATGCTCAGGCACCCTTCCTGCCAACCACATATGCCCGTCTAACACAATTTAATGGAGTAAATAATTAGGGTTGACTGCACTACTACATACAACCACGGAAAAATTAAGAGACTGCAGCACAATTTTTTGTTTCACTCATTTCTTAATTTATGTGTATGCCTCTGTGAATAATATATTTCATTTGGCAAACTTCAGCCTGGTTCTTCTCTGTTTATCATTAATGAAGGGCTTCCTCCTTGCTATATGGGACTTCAGTCCTGCTTCTAGGAACCTGATACAAACTATCCTATAGCATTGCACTTCGCACTTGCTGCATATGGAGATAGCACAGACACTGAGTTCTGCTCCTCAGAGTAAGGTTGCTAAAGAAGATTCCCTTAAGCTTGTGGAATCATCCCAAAAGAAGCTGGCCTCTCTGGGGGAACAGTGCATTGCCTGGGTCCTGGACGAATGCATCCAGAAAGTGTACATTGTGTTGCAGCTTCCCAAGCTGCTGGTCAGTCTTGAAGGGGTGTTGATAGAGTTGGGAGAGGAGTTGGTGGAAGCTCTGAAGGAGCATCAGCAAATTGAAGACACTCTAGGTGCCCAGCAGCTGAAGTACCTGGAGAAAGAGACAGAGGAGAGGCACGCTGAGATGGCCAGGCTGGAGCAGGGGTTGAGGAGTTCACTCAAGAACATTCTCCAGCTCCTGTTTGCCAACCCAGCAGCTATGCAGATGTTGCAAAGCAGAACTGTTTCCATGGCTTCTCATCAGCTGGTCCAGGGGCTGAAGAAATTACATGACCTTCTATTGGAAAAACTTCTTATACGCCCAGGGGAGGAGTGGGAGAGGAACCAAAATTTCAAGGAAGTAGCACAACAGCCCAGAAGCAGCATGGAGCTGGTCTCCTTGCTGGAAGCAGAGGTGACAAATGCAGCTCAAGATCGGGATGCTGAGGTAAGAGAGACTCCCTCAGTGCTAATGTTTTTAATTTGTTTAAATCCAGAAATTGAAGAAATAAGAATATAGTTTTTACAGTTATGACAACTGAGATTTTATATTTTGTTTTATAAATGCATATATTAGTTTAAAAATATATTGGATTCAGTTTCTTTTGTTCAGTGCTAAGATGATTTTATCCTTCAGATTTCAAATAAGAATGAGATCATCTACAACTTGAAGACCTCCTTGTACCACATGAAGAAGAGTATGTTAGACTTTGTGACACATACTCAAAATGATGCTGAGAAACAGAGCCAATCAGACAAGAAGATATCAGAAGGGCGATGTGTACAGCTACAGCAGGAGGTTAACCAGCTGCACATACAGCTGAGCAACCTGATCGCAGAAAACCACGGATATGAGACAGTCCTCAGAAAGGTGGGCATTGGGATCCCACTCAAAGTCACACAGCCTTTCTTACATTGTCTTTCTTCCCTGGTCATAGAACTACTATTTTACTGTATTACTGCTGCTTCCATAGTGGTAATTACTGTTTGCATTTCCACGTAACTGAATGATGTGAGACTGGATTCATTGTGAAACTGCTTCTGCTGTATATAATTCTCTAACACTTGACAGAGGGTATACAAGATTGAAAGTGAAACTGAAAACTGGATCCAAAAGTATGATAAAGACATAAGTGAAAAACAGGTAAGGAGATACTCTTTCTTTGGTGTGGCTAAATAATTGGATGGTATGTTATTAGTTGCACATTTGTAGTACACTGTACATGCCTGTAAAATGCAGTTTTAACAGCTATGAGTGTAACTACAGAATAATGGAAGGAATAACACTAAAACGATGCAGTGTTTGATGCAGAGCCTTGACCTCACCACAACAGTATGGAGTAATTTCTTGGAATAAAGGCATGTGCTATTTGCATGCCAGTAAATCAAGATTAAGATCAAATCTATGTCACAAGTATTCCCCAGCTGTATATGAAAGCAATGGAAATGTAAATATGTAGAAACTACTGCTTAAGAGTGGGTTGGGTCTCTGATTTTGCTTCAAACCCACACCACATGCACTGTTCATCAGGCTGAGCTAGAGGAGCTGTCCTCACTCTATGTTAAGGAGAAGGGGGAACTGCAAGAGCTGGAAGAGCACTATGCCCTGCTTGAGGTGGAGTTCCTACAAATCATGGAGGAAAAGAGGCTTGCTAACCAGCAAGAGGAGGAGGAACAGCAAGATCTGGCTGTGAAGAGCCATGCTGCCCTGATCATCCAAGCCTACTGGAAAGGCCACAGAGTACGCAAGATGATGAGGGTTAAAAGCAAGCACAAAAAAGGAAAGAAGGGAAAGTGAGTCCTGTTCCTATTTAAGTTCAGTTTTCCAGGCTTATTATATTTTTGCTAAGTGTTAAGAAAGACAGTAGGTTTCAGCTGACATTTACAAAGCATTGAGTGTTGTGTCTAGGAGGATAGCAATTTTGACTCAGACCTCTATGTTTAGGGACTTGTAGTCTGCCACTGCTCTGTGTATGGAGTATCCTCTAGGTCAGGGTTCCCCAGTTCCGGTTCTGGAAGGCAAGTCTGCAAGATAATTTGCAGATTTCCTTGCTCAAACATACCTCATTCAGCTCATCAGCTACAGTAATTGCCAGGTTTAGTAGGTGTGTTTGAGCAGGGAAATTTGAAAACCATGTTGAAGACTGGCCCTCTAGGAGCAGAACTGGGGAACCCTGCTCTAGATACTCCATTTTTCTTCTGTTGTCTAAATATGTGCTGGAGACCGATCAGTGTCTCCAATTTGCCCATGATATATGAATGCATGTGTACGTGTCCCATGTTGGACTGTGTGTATTCCAGCCTAGCCAGGCCCCCCTGCAACTCTGACTAAGATAAGTGGTTGGAAAAAGAATGAATGATATTAGTATACAGTAATGTTGATGTATGTCCAATATTCTTCCACATAACATGCAAAAATGTTTTTAGGAAGTTTATTCATATCATATGTGGATTTAGTATTGCATACTGACAGGTGATGCAGGGCTCACAATATATGCTCTATGCATTTTATGTACAAATGTACTAAAAATAATATACTGTTTTTGAAGTTTTAACTGTAAAATAAGCTAATAAAGTATATATTTCTCCCTTAATCAAGAAAGGACATGTAATTCTGACATACAACATGTGATGGAAGTGTCACTGATATGCATTCTCTGAGCTACCAGACTGTTTTCAGTCTAAAGCTTCCATTCAATTCAATTTAATTTATTTTTATATAGCACTTTTCACTGCCCCAAGGCACATTACATGGATGTGCTGTAATTAGGGCTGGGACGATTATTCGACGTAATCGACGATGTCGATTATAAAAATGTGTTAACGTGGAATTTTATAGTGTCGATGCGTTGTGTAAAACTACGTAAATGTTTTGTAACTGCAATGTCACGGGTGTCAAACTCTAGTCCTGGACAGCCGGAGCCCTGCACAGTTTTTGGTTTGCCTTCATTTAACACACCTGATTCAACTCCTTGTGCTAATTACCACAGAGCTCATAAGCTAAATCATTTGTGGTGGAACAGGGAGAGAGCTAAGCTACACAGGACTCCGGCCCCCCAGGACTGGAGTTTGACACCCCTGCTGTTAGGGAAAGTATTTTATCCCCTCGGGAGCACGTCAACATTAACGCTGTCCTTTTAAGAATCACGCTTAGTCTGCTAATAACTGAACTTTACTGTCCACCTGATGATCTCTTTGCCACTGGAGAGCTACAATATTTTAATTATTGGACCTGCGGCATGGTTTTCATTTACAATACATAGTTATACCGCTAATAAGCTGGCTAGTTGTTTCACTGCTCGCACCATTAAAATTATATCAATTATAGACTGAATTCTGATATACAGTAGTTTTGTCTAATATCGCTGGTGCCAGCAGTGCCGCACTATTTTGTAAGACATGCACTGGCCAATCATGTAGCACTTCTCTCATAAATATTAATGAGACATCACCTACCGCCATGCAAAAAGGAAATTTACCGCCTGCCCTGCCCCCCTGTAGGCAACATGGCTGCGTCTACCGACAGAGCTCCAAAACCTCAGAAGAAACATGTGGCAAAAAAAACTCGCACGTGGTTTTCCAAACTTTGGGAATACTTCAATCATGACACCTTTTCTGCACCTCTACTGTAGCTGACGTCAATGAAACTGTCACAAACAAACAGTTTTCTTTCATGAACAAAGTCTTCCATGACATGTTGTATCAGTTTGTGGTGGTTTATATAGATGACATTTTAATTCACTCCCCTTCTGAGCAGGTTCATGTTCAGCATGTAAGGCAGGTGCTGCAACGGTTACGGGAACATCATCTCTACGTGAAGGGAGGAAAATGTGAATTTCATAGGCACTCCGTAACGTTCCTCGGGTACCTCATTAAGCCAGGGGCGGTGGCGATGGAGGAGCAGAAGATCGCAGCTGTGCGGGAGTGGCCTAAACCCAAAACCCTTAAAGATCTGCAACGCTTCCTGGGGTTTGCTAACTTTTACCGGAGATTCATCCGTAATTTCAGCAAGATCGCGGCCCCTCTTACTTCTCTCACTAGGGGAACCCCTACCCGAGTCCGGACTGGGGAGTCTGCACTGCCCCAGTGTTAATCCAACCTCGACCGGAGCTTCCTTTTGAAGTCGAGGTGGACACCTCCAAAGCCGGAGTGGGGGCTGTGCTGATCCAACGAGATCCGGAGACCGGACACCGGCAGCCCTGTACCTATTTTTCACGTAAGTTGACCTCCGCAGAACGCAATTACAATGTGGGAGATCGGGAACTCCTCGCCATCAAGCTAGCCCTAGAAGAGTGGCGTCATTGGTTAGAGGGGGCTCGACACCCCTTCGTTGTATTAACCGATCATTGTAATTTGGAATATCTCCAGTCGGCCAAACGACTCACCTCCCATCAGGCTCGCTGGGCGCAGTGGTTTGCTCGCTTCACGTTCCGGGTGAGTTACCTACCCGGTAAGAAAAACGTGAAAGCGGACGCTTTATCCCGGCAGTTTGACCCCCCTGAGAGTGAGGAAAAGGATTATCCTGTTCTGGACCGTCCTGCTTCATCGCGTCCATTACCTGGGGATTGGAGGAGACCATTAAAGCGGAGAACGAAACCTGTGCTCTACCAGTGGGTTGTCCACCTGATTTGTTGTACGTATCGCCTTCGCATCGCCAGGAGTTTCTTAGGTGGATTCACGCGCAATCAGGAACCGGGCACCCCGGAGTATCGGCTACCCAACGTTTGCTCTCCCGCCGGTATTGGTGGCCCGGTTGGCGCCGACAAGTACAAACCTTCGTAGACAGTTGTCCAGACTGTGCTAGATATAAGTCCTCTTCCCTAAGTCCCGCAGGTCTTCTCCAGCCGTTGCCTGTTCCCTCCAGACCGTGGTCACATATTGCTATGGACTTCATCACGGACCTCCCTCGGTCTTCGGGTAAGACCGTGATTCTCACCCTGGTCGATCGGTTCTCCAACATGTGTCGGCTGGTAGCCCTCCCGAAGCTACCCTCCGCCGTCGAACTCGCAGAGGTATTAATAAATGAGCTCTTCCGTTTCACAGGCATCCCGGAAGATATTGTATCAGACCGAGGACCTCAGTTTGCCTCTAGAGTATTCAGAGAATTCTGTAGAAAATTTCAGGTGTCACTAATCCTTACCTCAGCTTACCATCCCCAGGCGAATGGGCTTGCTGAACGCACGAACAAAGAGATGTCCAAAGCCATTCGCCTATTATGCCGAACTACTGTAGCAAGCTGGTCCTCTCATCTGGTGTGGGTGGAGTACTCCATCAATTCTAGGGTGAGTCCGGTAACAAAACTGACGTTTCAGTGTGTGTTGGGCTTTCAGCCCCCCCTGTTCCCCTGGGACTCACCTTCCGGAGCAGTGCCTAGAGTGGATGACTGGTACCAAAACTGCAAACGCGCCTGGCGCCAGATCAAGACCTCCCTCCGAACTCAAGCTGATCGGCACAAGGCTCAAGCAGATCGAAACCGACGACCGGGGTTCCCCTATCGCGTGGGACAACAGGTGTGGCTATCTACCAGGAATCTGAGAATTCCTGGGTGTCGGAAACTCACCGCTCGCTACATCGGGCCATTCCGGATCCTGAAGAGAGTCTGACCCATGACGATGAAACTACAACTACCCCGCGTGTATAGAATATGCCCAACCTTTCATGTCTCTCTCCTCAAACCTGTTAAATACAGCCCTCTGCGCCCCGCATCCAATGCTGCTGAAGAACCGCTTCCTCCGGTGGCAGACAATGGATCGTCGACTCGGATTCATGCCCTCCGGGATTCGAGGAGACGGCGGGGAAAGCTGCAATATCTTGTCGACTGGGACGGTAACAGTCCGGATGACCGTAGTTGGGTTCCAGCCTCCGCGGTGACGGACCCGACGATGATAGCGGCTTTCCATCAGGCACACCCGACTAAACCTAGTCCCCGTCCTAGGGGGCGCCCTCACAAGCGCTGTCGGCCTCCCGGAGGCGGCCGTCGGGAGGGGGGGTCTGTCACGCCCACAGGGGCGGGGTCAGACAAACGCAATCCGGCGACACACGATTAGCCACCTATATAAACTGAATGCCCCAGAACTACGTTGCGAAGTATTGAGCCGATGTTAAGACGCCGTACCAAGTAATCTTCTTGTCTCCAGTCTGCCCGGTTACCCCTGCCTCACCTGTCTCCTCCTTGTGTTATCCTGACCTTCTCTCATTCCTCTCCCAGACCAGCTCCCGCCCGTAACCCACCTGTCCTGCTGAGCCCGGCGTCCTCTGTTCCCCGTTCCCAGTGTTCCTTGTCTCTGTGCCTACTTTTCGCACGGATTATCCTGGCAACGAACCCATCTCCCGAACTACGACCTCAATTTCTGCGCACCCCTTCAGCACCTACGCATCGGTCTGCAGCTAGGGACCTCATTCCCGAGTCCGTGGCTCCAGCCGGGACTTGCCGCTCCGAGGCGGCTGCACCCCTTCTTAGGAGAGGGCTGCCCCCTGTTGCCGCTTACCTGTATTTTGCCACATTAAAGCCTTCTGTTCCCTGCATCCCTGGATCTCTGCTTCCCTTTCTGCCTAGACGTGACACTGTTTCATATGTTTTATATTTTCTGTTTACTTATTTTGTCATGTGAGAGTGAGACAAATTATCGTTTACGACTACTGTTACGCACTGTAGCCTAAATCATTCCTTGCTCACTGAAGTAAGCTTAACAGCTGGGGTGGATCCAGTTGTCGTGGTGCATGTTGACACCAACGATATAGGCAAGGGTAGGAGGGCTGTAGCCTAATTGTCGGTGTTTGTTACAGAGCACCTAATGTAGATGCCGAGGAAAGCAGATTGTTATACAGTGATATTAGGATTATGAG